ATGTGTGGATGTATGGATGCACATCCGTGTACGCGCGCGTGTGTGCACACACACGCACGCACGCGCACAGACAGTGGGAAGTGTGGAAGTGGGTGTCTGATCGTGTGTATGTGTGTGTGTGTGAATGTGTGAATGTTATGTGCGTGTGTGTGCGTGTATGTGTGTGGATATATGGATGAACATCCGTGTACGCGCCCGTGTGTGTTTGTGGAGAGGGATGCGTGCGTGCGCACACACACACACACACACACACACACACACACACACACACACACACACACACACACACACACACACACACACACACACACACACACATAAACACACATATGCACACATAAACACACAAATGCACACATAAACACATATGCACAAATACATACAGACATACACATAAACACGCACAAACATACACACACATACATACATGCACATAAACACGCACACACACACACGCACACGCACGCACACGCACACAAAGAGTGTCTTTCCCGTACTATAACGCCTCTTAATACCGGGTGGGCCACAGTGCGCCGAAGGGGGTCATCACCTCCTGCCGTGCCGCCTCTCCCCCGCCCGTCGCTCCTGGGCCGCCGAGGCAGGACCCTCCAGGGGCATCCCTTCGAAGTGAACGCCATAGAACCTGCTCCCTCCGTTGGCTCCCCCCACGCAAGCGCCCCCGGTGTCGCGGGCGGGGTACCTGCTAGGAATGTCACGGGTGATAAATCGCCCCATTATGGATATCGTAAGTTAGGAGTGATATGACCATTCAGTGTTGAGTGCTGATGAACCAGGCTTTTCGTGTAAGAGACGTGCGCGCTGTATTTGTTCAACAATGCAATAATGTGTATGGAGTGGATTTATGAATAGAAAGTTTAATAGAGAGTTATTAACAGTAACATTATTAACCTTAATATATCCTGGCGTGTTTTCCTATTACCCCAATAGTTAGGGGTCCACAATGGGTATTATACTGCATTTGAAACATACAGATGAATAATAATAAGGTGCAGGTAAGTTCCATAACATCTCTTTTCTACAAAATGACATCTATTTTCTCAATCGATCCCTGCCTTTTAGGACCTCAACCCGCCCCCCCCCAAACAAAAAGTATATTTTTGTACCTACATATAGATATGCGCAGATAGATATATCCAATGTAGATATGTATAAACACTTAATGCACCATCATTTCTAAAGAAATTCGCTTGTGTAGAATTAGTATTGTAACGTGTGTGTGATGCCGCATTTGTCTATATGAAATATATAAGTAAGACGAGACACCTTTTAAGTCTTTTCCAGGGATTCTGAACAACTATTCAGTTTGATCCAGCGTTCATATACTTGATATGAATGAAAAAGCTAACTCTGATATAATTTGTGGATATATTCCCATTTTGAAATAAAACTTATCATATTTTTTCTTCTGCACGCAGCTCCGACTCAGGCCAAGAAAAAAGGTAGATATTTCTGTATTTGATAATTATTATTATTTTGTTATTCTTTATTATTATTTGTTAATCAATTCTTTAAGTCGTTTGTTTAATGTTTGCTTATTTTTCTAATATGTTTGCGAGGTTGCCATAGGTGTACTAATTTGATATGATTTTTATTGGTTTAGAGACCCTCTTACAACAAGGACAAGAAGAGGAAATGTATTTGCATGAATTTCCATTCCAAATTATTAAAGCATCATTCAGCATTCCACGTTAGCATGTAGATTACTATATTTGTCTGATAGTATTGTGCATTTGTAGTCATTCGTGAGAAGGAAATGACTGTAGATTAAATCCAAAGCAGTATT